GACAGTTTTCATACTGCAAATTAGCTAGGCAAAAAGTTCCAAGTTTCGCTACAGGATGGAATGTTTTTTGTTTAACATAAACCCAGTATATAGCTAGTGAACAAATATTTAGGTAATTATGAACATATATCAAGACTATTGAAAATAAATTTACTTTCTGAAATAAATCATAAGAGTTTGGTATTTGTGAAATGCCTACACATGCAAAGAGTCACAAGAAGTCTTAGCAATCTTTTACAGTTCAGTCCCATCTCTTCATAAGGTAAATACTGAGCAAGAAAGATTGTAGAATGAAAAAGTCCAAATAAACAGATTGACATTTTTAGTGTATAGACTTACTAAAACTTGGGACCAGCACATCAGGGATGTAGTATCCTGGAATAATTTTCATAGAACTATGCAGTATATAATTGTTATTAAATTTTAACAAACTCCTTCTATCATAAGCTACTAACTAGGGCCTCTGTTTACGTTTGTCAATGAAGTTCATATTCATAAAAACGTATGTCAAAGTGAATGTGCTAGTGAATGTTTTAATGCTGATGGTGTGCTTGTGGCAATAATTCACTGAATAATTTCCTGTTCTTCATCTTATGTCCTCTAATAACATAGCTTCTCCTAAAGTCTGCTTGTGTGATATTTCAGAAAACTCTATAATGCATTTACATTCAGATTGTACCTTAAAAGGTTTATTTCTCCAGGTCCTGTTTGAGTTTATAACAAAGGATATTCTATAAACCAGATTTTTAAGTCAAAGGGGTATAGAACAAATCGTAACAATGTCCAGCCATTGCTTTGGGGAAGAGTTTTCCTCTTTTCTCGGCATCTTTTTCTCCAGTGGACACATTCACTACAGAAAACAAGTCTACAGTATAGCTGCATAGGTTAATCATAGCTCAAATACAGCTATTTTGTTGAGAGCTGTTTTAGCCTGGCAAGAAAAACAGAATTCTGATAGCACCTTTTCAGATTAACAAACTGTCATCACCTGCTCTCATCCAGATGAGCCTGAGACAGGGAATCCTGTTCCAGGAGAGCTGGTTGGATCTCAGCCTATGGAAACTTTGAGCACTTAATCTCCTAAAGTTGATCCACCTGAAGTTGATTCACCCTCAGCAGTTGCCTCTGCTTTGAAAAGATAAGGAATTGGAGCTGGAAAGATTGCCCAGCCTGAGCCTGCCATGTGCAACAGAGAGCAGAGCAATGGTAATTCAACATGTCTTGAACCCTAAGAGTTTTCCCCGTCTTTGATTGGATTCACAAGCATGGACACTATTTAGGAGCAACTTCTAACCTACTCTGTTGAGAACAACTGCTTTTTTTACCAGAACCTCTGCTATTGCCTAAACTCTTGCCCATGGGAACTCTGTTCTTTTGCATCCAGACTGGCTGACAACTGAGCCCAGAACTGAGGGAGATGGATGGTTAAAAGATATGAAATATAAATATATAAAAATGCTATGTGCCTGCAAAGGTTACATTCCATTCCAACATGAAATCTCTCTCTGGTTCAGCAAGCCTTTGCTTTTTCTATGCCCGAAGTACCTATAATATCACAAAATGTGCTGTATGTACATGTACATTTTGACCTTGGTATTTAAAAGCTCCCCCCTCTATCTTAGAAGAAGAATGCTTAGATCTAGATTTATCAAAATATGCTATAATTAAGACTGTTCACTTGCAATGAGAAATCAGAGGAATTTATTTTTAAATTCAAGGGTATGCAAATGAATCAAACCATAAATTTATTTTGTAGTGCCAGAAAGGCCTATATTTTTAAAAAAATCCAGGCTATTACTTTGTGATTTAAAACATGCAACCATTCTTTGGGGACATACATTTTAATGGTTAATTAAGAAATAAGCTTTTGCATATGGAACATAAGGCTAGTCATATTGCACAAGACATAAACTCAGAATTTTTGGCTTGGATAACAAAAATCAAACTCCCAACTTCTTGATTTGTTCTCATAATGCTGCTAATTAGCACTGGTGTTATTTAATGCCTGGTATTTCAAATAGAAATAAAGTATAGCAGAAATTTCTCATATCTTTAATTCCATTCTGATATGCCTATAGGAATTAGCAAAAGAAAATGGAAAAATGATCTACTTCAATAGGAAACCCAGAGGCAAATAGATGTTTTTACATTCCACTCACGGGTCTATAATAAATTACTGCCATTTTAACTCAGTTTCCAGATTCTGGGACATCAGATTCTTCCAAATAATTTATCTCCAGATATTAGAAAAGTTAAGTCACTTTTGTGGTAAATAATTGGCTTCCTTGACCTTGTGTATTATTTGTAGGAATGTATATTAATAGAGTGTACAGTTTTAATCTATTTTAAAATAAAGATATCAGTACAATAGTCAAGGTAAGATTATAATGAATTCATTAGCTTGCTTTTGAGCAAATAACATGGATAACACATTCAACTTTCCATTTCTTCCATAAGTAAACTAAGATTAATCTAAAAGCCATTTCATGCATGCGTTCATTGACTTTGAAAGGAGTCGAATAAGTGAAAGGACTTAAAGAAGCTGCTATTCAAACTGCTGTCATTCTGTTGAAAAACGTTAAGTGTGAGTTGGCCAGAATTCTGGAACAAGAGAAATTCTAATGAATAATGGCTTTTGTCAGAAAGGAAGAAGTAGAACTTAGTACATTCCTTAGGTAATAGAGATATGTTGCCCAGTAACGAGGGAATAGTCAGGGACTTTTAAAAAATGGACGGTGTGAATGAAACTAGGCCTCTGTTCATTTGTGAAATGTCAATCTACCATATCACTTTCTGACATTTCTGGAACTTGCTCTTAGTAAATTAAAATAACAGTAAGAATAAGACAAAGTCATTGTTAGAACCAATAAAACCACCCAAATACTATCGAATTCTTCATTTATTTTACCTCTACATTATATGCAAAGCAATTGTTCAGGCCAAATGTTGGCATAACTGCTACCCAGTAGAGAATCCTAACTTGAAGATTCTGATTTAGCAGTATCTATTTACAGGCAGATAGATCAACACAACTATGAAACTATTCCAACAAAACTACAATATCACTTTTGCCAGTGGAATTGATAAAAATAGGGCAGGGACATGGTGGGGTTACACACAGTGTAAATGCATGCCTTCTTGAACTTCTTCACCCATGATACATCTATGATGAAAATCAAACTTTACACTGTATCAAGATAGTATATTTGTTGCTTTACTGAGATCAATGGAAATAATTCTTTCTACCACCCACCATATTTGGAATTTATTTATCAGATTACTAATTTGCCTTTCCTTCAGAAGCACCAAGTGATATAAATAGCTTTCCAATTTTCTCCCCAATAACTCTAGGAGAAATCTTAGGCTGATTGGTTATCAGTGGCCTAAAGTCACCCACAACAGGATGGACTGGGCTTCCCTGGTTGTAATTCAACACTATTATTTTAAGAAGGCATGATCTGAAAACACATAATACAATGATATTCAGTGTTTCTAAAGGAGATTCTCTGAAAATTACTTTGAGTTCCATGGTAGAAGAAAGGCTGGTTTTAACTTTACAGATATGAGCGTCACAATATATATTTTCTACCAATTTTTAACTGTTATATTTTAATTACATGGATTTTAATAGATTTTAAGTTGTATTTAATATTTTACATTGTTTTACTGTTGTAAGTTACTGGATCTTGAGCATTCATATAAGCAGAAAAACAATATAAAATTGTTATGAATACGGTAAGGGGCACCTTATGATCTTTTAGAGATGAAAACAATTGCACCTACAAATAAAATTTAAAGAGACTTTATTGAAGCTAAAATTCACTGAAGCTGAAATTCCTAATTTAATTTGGGACAAGCTTCTCTTACATTCCATTTCCACATTACATGCACTATAGCAATGCCTGTTCACCTACGAACAGACATTGCTATATTGTCTCCCATATTACCAAAATGTGTTAAGCAATAGCAGCTGAAAACACAAAATGAAAACTACAGTAACTCTCCTCCCACACCACCCACCACTAATGTACTGGAATGAATGGAATGTGAGAGGAAGTAGACCTCTTAGCAAATTTAAAGTTTCTACTTTTTGTTACCATACCTCTTTCTGTTCTTTCTTAATAGTGCTCCAAGTAAATTGGGATGTCTAAGATCCAGAACTGCATTAATACACGGGTTTTTTTTTTTATGATGCAGAAAGGGATTTGGGATTTCTTTTGATTTACCTGTAAAAATTGGGTCTGCCTCAGCATCAGGCAACACTGCTTTCTTGTACAATGTTAAGCAAGTTTTCTTAAAATTGCCAACTCTTGCCAATGAATCTTGCACCAGACAAGTGCAGTAGACACATCAGTGCCCTTTTTGTCCTCATGTCTTCCATCCAGGAGGCTTATAGCCCTTAAATTCAAATACTGCCCAGCTTTTTTCTTTCTTTTTACTATCTATAAGCTGCTTCTTTCTGAGCAAGTATTAGCCATAAATTAACAAGCTCGGCTTTGTTATTTTAGTTGATTAGCACTATTGGCTGCCTTGCCCTGTGCACTACTGCGGGATTAACCTTGCTTCTGTCAGTGGGGTTTTATACACGGTGCTCAAAATTTAAGACGTTTTAGAAACATCCCATGATCCCATGTTTTAGAAACATCCCCCACGGAGGCCGTGACGCTTTATTCTCGAGTATAGGATAGCACGATAAGTCAAGGCAGCAGCTTTTGATCCTTTTTCTCACTCCTTTTTTAACCTTCCTCCTTTTTCGACATCGTCTTCCAAACCGGCGTCCTTCAGACACCGCAAATCCGGCAACTGTCCCTGCTGCTGACAATTAAGGGCAGGAAATTCGGCTGCTCTCTATTGGGCCAGGTCGTCACGCCACGCCGGGCGAGAAAGATTGAGGGCTTCTCCCAGAGACCATGTGCCCCGGGAGTGGGTCGGCTTTTCCACCCATCTTCCCCGCCCTTTCTTGATCCTAACACCTCCTGGCGGCGAAGCGAGCGACGGTGGCTATAGCAACCTCGCCGCCGGCTAGGCCCGCCTCTTGCTTTGCTTGCGCAGAAAGGGTGGAAGGAGGCGGAAACTGACGAGAGGCGCTGGGTCTCCTGAGGCCGGCCCTACGGGCGAGGAGCCGGCTCTAGGCCGGGAACATGGGAGTCAGGATGGACGAAAGCGGCGAGCGCAGGAGGCGGCGGAGCAGCCCAGGTAGCGCGCAGGAACCGAGTTGGCAATCTGCTCCCGTATCGCCGGGGAGGAGGGCGCCCGAGGGCTCACTCTTAGAACCCGATTGGGACCTAAGAGTGAACCGAGCGCTTTCTTTTTTTTTAATGCTCCCCGCTCGCTGCAGTCGCGGCGGGGGGGGGGGGGGGGCTACGCGGCTCATCCGAAGCTCTTGGTCTGTGAGGGGCTGGCGACCAAGATCCCGATTCCGGCATTTCGTGGGAACAAACGATTCTCTGCAAGCAGATCGCCTCGCGCAGCAGAAGGTTACGCGCCTTCTCCTCCTCGCGCCGGCTGGCGGGGTTCTATGACCCAGCATGCACTGCTTCTCCGGCTCCTCAGCAGTTCCAGAATGCGCCCGCCGATCCAGGGTCCTGGGGGCGAGGGAAGAGAAAGCGGGTGTGGAAAAGCTTTCCCGAACTTTATTGGTCTGTTCGGGATAACGCGGGGAAGGGACGAGGAGCGCGGAGATTTCCCGGCCTGATCAGCAATTGACTTAGATTTAGAAATAACTTTATTGTCACTTTAAATGTACATTAAAATGAAATTTCGTTGCATATGGCGCTCAAGGAGTCACCACCTCCAATATACATTACATAAACATGACAAAACTATAAACAAATAATAAATAAGTTAAATAACAAATAAGCAAGCATATATGGCACAGAGAAACAACACAGTCTAGTTCGGATGTATACATGTACTGTACATGGTAAGAAAAACGAATCTTGCGAGTTTATCAGATGGCTGGCATAGGATCCTGCAGTCCTGCTAGAAATACTTAAAAACCTTCTGTCTTGCTAATCTACTACTTACAGCAAGAACTTGCCACCAGTAAGCAGAGGTTTCAAAAACTATATGCACCTGTGTGCTATTGTCACTGGACAACAGTCCATCTTTTGCCTTGCTTGCTGCAGATCAACTGAGGTAAGATGAGATACAGGTAGTCCTTGACTTATGACCACAGTTGAGTTCAAAGGTTTCTGTGGCTAAGCAAGACAACTTGTTAAGTGAATTTTTCCCCATTTTACAACCTTTCTTGCCACAGTCGTGGCAAGATCACTGGCAGCACTTTTTAAATTAATAACACGATTATTAACTGTATCTGGCTTTCCTGTTAACCTTGCTTGTTAAAAGATTGCAAGAGGTGATTTTATGACCCTGGGACACTGCAACTGTCATAAATATGAGTCAGTTGCCAAGTGTCTGAATTTTAATCACATCACCATGGGGATGCTGTGACAGTCATAAGTGTGAAAAATGGTTGTAAGTCACTTTTTTCACTGCTGTTGTAACTTTGAACGATCACAAAATGATCTGTTGTATATAGTTGTAGGAAATAAATGATGCATAGTATTTTGTCTGTGGTGTTACTATTTTGCAATTCCTCAATTAATTTGTGCTGGAAACTTGCTTGTTCAAACACAACAAATGTGACTTGAGGTAAGGTGGTTAAAAAAAGAATGGTGTTACAACTCTAAATGCATCTGGATAAACATGATTTTAATGGAGTCATTTTAATATTCTGTGATAATTTTACTGAGCTTGCTTTGCCTCTTTTGGTAAATGTCAAAAACTAGATAGGAAGAGTTTACCTTGACTGGTGGTTTTCCACATTGGTTATGTTATTCTTATGGGCTGCCTGGCAGGGTTGGGCCTTTAGATTTTTGTAGTAATTCTGGTTCTGTGTTTGGGACTCAAAAGGCTTCAGTACCTAGGTTATTGATTTATAGTGCCATTATCCTCAGTTTGACATCTTTATGACACCACTAGAGAACATTTGGAGCTCTGGAATGGGATGCTATCACTGTACTAAAGTTACTCAGCTCTACAGAGCAGTCTTCCTTCTAACTCCAAGGAAGCAGTAAGGACCCTTGAAAATTGCCTAATCCTGGAATGCTCTGGCTAAAGAAACACAAACTCCAGGTGCGTTGGAAATACTTTTAAAAAGGGCTCTGGGGATAAAGTGAGATCTGTTTTGGATGAAATTTATACACCCAGACAGAACAGATTCACAGTTTGAGAATGTTCCTTGACCCCAGATATTACTGGATTTGCAGGTGGTGGTGGTGGTGGCAAAGAGCATATTTGCACAGTTTGTGCACCAACTACAACTATTTGTGTGCCAGTCAGTCTTAGCAATAGCCATCCATTCATCGGTTTCACCCTGGCTGGACTACTGCAGTGCACTTTATCTGGAGCTAACCTTGAAAAGAGTCTTGAAATTAATGCTAAGGTGCAAGATATATGATGCACTGTTATCAGATGCCTACAAGGTGTAATGCTGGTGTTGACTTTTGAAGTCTTGAAGAGCTTAGTTCTAATTTATCTGCCTTTCTTGTTATATACCTGCCCAGCTCTGAGTTCAGTAGGAGATGCTGTTCTGAAGATACCCCACTGCCCAAAGACCAACTATTAAGTAGGCAGGAAAGGACTTCTACTCCCAGGCTATGAAACATTCACTGTGAGAGTATATTTGGCTCCTGCAAGAAGATAGTTTTAAAACTCTTTCTTAAAACTTTTTCATGGATTGTTTTAGTGTTCATTTTTATTACAATTCTGTGAACTTTTTTTCTATTTTATACTTCTTTTTCTTGTTGTCTTAAACCATCTTGTGTGTTAGGATAAATGAAAGGGCAGGATATAAATTCTATATCAAATTAATAAATGAAATGCTGTAGGAGCTATGCTGATACTGTACATGAGAAATAAGCTTTCAAATAGTAACATTTCACAGCTGTTTTGGACTTTTCTTTTGGGTAGAAATGATTTTGTTTTTATCTACAATAAAAACAGCTACATGGAAGTTTACTTACAATGAGCGCAGCCTAAAATATCTTAGCTCTTTTCATTTTAGATTGCCCTTGTTGGCAACCTAAGTTGTGGGGAAAGTGCTGAATTGTAAAACTGAAGTTGTCAAGACCTCTCAATGGTACTGTGATATGGGAAAATTGGTGGCTTGGTAACCAGCAGCTCCGTGATAATTTTTTTTTAACCAATCAACCCAAACACAGATGTTTTTTAAAGAATTGTTGCAAAAACAGGAAAAATAACTATGAAAAATAGATTACTGGTTTGTTATTTTAATGCTATTAATACCAGCATTGCATAGACATAAAAGATACTTCTTAAAATATTTTTTTAATTTATTTTCAAGATTGACATGTAGTTCTGAATTTACGACCACAGTTAGCTCAAAATTTCAATTACTAAGCCACAAAGTTGTTAAGAGAGTTGTGTAATGTGTGAATATATACACATTCTGGAGAGAGAGAGAGGTGGGGAGGGAGGGAGAGAGAGATACAGAGATACAGATATACACAATTACCAATAGGGATCTTGCACTCAATTGACTCTTTATTCCCAGGAAACGGTTTAAGAACTTGAGGAGTTGGGGCCTGTTATATTTTGGGCAGGGAAAGTGGGGAGATTGTTGTAGATATTAGAAACAACCACAGAAAAAGCACACTTCCTAGGCATCATAAGATGACAAGATTTAAAAGAAGGATTCTGGAACATGTAGACTGGGCAGATATTCTTGAGAGAAGGTGACCCTTCAAGTAGCCTGGTCCTATGCCATGTAGGACTTTAAAGGAGATTAAATTGAATCACAAAGAGAAGTCTATGGAAAGCTAGTGCAGTTTGTCGAGTAGTGGTACAACATGAGCATAGCAAGAGGTATCCATATCTACTTGTGCTATCCGATTCTGGACTAATTGCAGTTTCCTGATACTTTTCAGAGGCAGTTTTATGTAACATGCATTGCAGTTAGTTCAGAGGCATTAGTCCAGTTCGGAGGAAAATAAGACATGAGTGGGATAATAAAAGGATGATGGTGGACCATAATTTTTATATTTCTGATTTCTATCCTATTGCAATAAACCTTAATTTAATGATCATTCAAGACTGATGTCCATTAAAGCTGAGTCTGTTAAGTCTAAATGTATTCCATTTGCATCACTTTGTGTCATTTATAATTATGCAGTTGATATAAAAGTGATTTTGCAGTAACATTTCAATTCAATAGATACATTTTAATGGTCAGCTCCTGACATTAATCCATGAAATGGGAGAAGTTCATTGATGAAATTCATATTAAAAAGTGTCCATTGTGTCTGAAGCCTGTTGAATTAAGAACATGTATCCCAGTGATGGCAAAACCTTTTCGGCATTGAGTGCCCAAACCAGAACGCACATGCACGCAGTGGAGCACTGGAAACATGAAGATCAGCTAGCCTGTGCACATCTGCGCACCAGCCAGTTGGTCTTTGGATTTCCGGTGCTCCGGCACACACAAAGACCAGTTGGTGCACCGGAAACCAAAAAAGCAATTGGTCACGGCACGTGTGCCCACAGACAGGGCTCTGCATGCCACCTCTGGCACATGTGCCATAGGTTTGCCACCACGGATCTATCCTATCCATGCATTTGTAGTCTTGTTCATCTTAAGGTAGAAATAATTTCTTGATAACAGAATATCTATAAAACATATCCTGAAAGATAAATGACTGCTACCTAATGGATGTTTTAATTTCCTAAAGACATATTAAAAGTCTTTGTTGAATGAAAGAATCTTTCTGTTCTATCTTAGCTTTTTCATGCAAAATAGGATGTACTTACATTCCATTTTATTGAAAGCTGCCCAAAATTGTCTGAAAGATGGGCGGCCATATAAATGTTTTAAACAGTAAATAATTAAATAAAATAAAAAATGGAAGGTCTCACCTAATGGCCTGTATTTTCTACTAAGCATGTATAACACAGATCGAGGAAGTACTACTTTAAAAATATTAATGAGAAAGCCATTCTTTCTGAGAAAAGTTTTTATTAGTGACATTATCCAGGTGCAAATGTATAGCAGTGGAACTTTCAGAGAAAAAAAATACAGGTTAATCCTTGCTTAGCAACCCCAATTGGGACCTGTTGCCAAGCACAAAAAAACACATGACTGAGATAGAGTTACAACATCACTCTCCATTCTGTCGTTAAGTGAGTCATCACATGAACTTGATTTGTGGTTTTACTTCTATCTTCTCTATTAATTCTGCTTCTGGGAAGCCAGTTGTGAATCCCAGAAATGACATGACCACAAGACTTTGCAGCAGTCATAAATGTGTGCCAGTTGCCATCAAATGGCTGCAAGGTGTTGGAATGATCATAAAAAGGTAGTTTGGTCACGAAGCTTTGGGTGTGTTTTTACAGTATCATAACTTTGAATGGTCATAAAACGAGGCAGTTGGTAAGGACTACTTAGAGTCTTCATAGCTTTTTGTATCACTATTAGCAAAGTAAGCTAATGAGTGACATCTAAAGTAAAACTCAAAATAGAGTTATTGAGAAACAGGAATTTCAACTGTGCAAACATCTCAAAAAGTTCTTTTATAACATTTAAACAAAGGGACATCTTCCCATGCAGTTCAGCCAGGACTATATGAGAAGTAAGAAAAGATATAATGCTATTCTTTTATTGTATTGCAAGTACCATTTTGTCATTCTTCCTAGTAAAATTTTCAAGAGGTGAATAGATTCATTTTTATATTGCTTTTTTTTCTGTTCTTTTGAATCAGCATATTCTAGTTTCTACACAGGGCTAGCTTAATTCTAACATTGACAAACTAACAAACATTATTCTGGTCTTAGAGACTCTCAAATTAATATTTCTTTAATTGCTGAGCTATTACATTTTCCATGAATTTTAGTGTTAAACTTTAAATATTTCTTGCTGAAATTTTTTTTGCAAAGACTGCATTGGTTACTTCTATGTTGTTTTCTATCTTATAAAGTTACTAAAATTATAAAAAAGAAAAAAAATATGCCATTTGCTTTCATTGCAGTCTAAACTACTAAGTAGCATCTGTATAAAAACAGCCTGTGAAAGCACAGCATTTGATGAATATTCTTTCTTGATAGCAAAATATTAAAATAGGCTTTAAAAAAATCTACAACCCCAGTTTTTTAACAATAGGCAATTACAACAATCTAAACTTGTTTTTTTTTCCTTTTTATTTCAGTAATAGAATATCTAACCATTCCTAGGTACGGACTAGCAAGCCCATTCAAAGGACATTTAAGTACAAAAAGTAATGGTAAGTAATTTATGTGATATGATAAATAATTTATTTGGAAATCACGCTAGGTATAGACTGCTACAAGTCTTTTATTTAAGCATTAGTTTGACAGAATTTAATCAAATCAGCTAGGCTTTAACCAAGAAATTAAATCTAAACCTAATAGTGTTATTTAAGGAAGATATTTAGCCCTCTTTATCTAGTTTTTAGCAATAAATAATACAACTTTCAATCTAGAGAAAACTGTTAAAGAAGCATGACTAAATATTTTTGAAAATCATGTAACATAATAATTCAAAAAATGTACATGAAGTATTATCATAGTTCTTTATTTAGCTTCTGTTTTCAAAACATGGTGAATTAAAATTGCTATGTTTACTCTATGAAAATTTAAGTAAGTTCTCTCACCACTTGCCTCATCAGTGCTTTCTGTCTTCATTGGCATGAAATTGTCAGAACCTTCAAGCTGAAGTCCTTAAGCCTCTTTACCTCAGAATGATCACATTGACTTCATAATGGGTCTATTCTTGGGGTAGCTGTTTTGAGGGTCTCCTGCTAGTTTCATATGCATGGATATGTGCTGCTCCACTGACTATTAAGACATAAACTTTTCCTGGCAGAAGCATTGCTGAAATGGCTCTGTGATTAGCATTCATCTTGTTCATGGCTCAGTAACAGAAGAATTCTCAGTCCTGTGTGAGGGTTGATTTTAATCTGCTTATGTAATTTAATATATGATTATTTAGTTGTTGGAACTGCTTTCTTAACACAGGCTATGAACTCTGATGGTATTAAGAAACCAAGAAAGCCAAAAAGACCAAGAAAGCAAGCCCATTGAATAAGCGTGGTGATAGCAGTCCCCTGACCTCTTGGAATCTATGATCCCAGAAAATATAGCTGAAGTTCACATCAGGGTTGTGTTAGACCTCAGGGGCCGGGTTGGGCATGGCCAGCTTGACATCACTCATGTGGTGGCCCGTGTGTTCTGCCAGTGAAAATGGGTTCCTGAGCTCTGTTTTCGGCCGCGACAGCCCTCTGACAGAGAAAATGGAGCTCAGGTGGGCCATGCGGGCCATGTAGGCCGGTCCGCTGTTTCTAGGGCAGCTCCATGGGCTAGATCTAAGCACCCCGTGGGCCAGATCCGGCCTCCAGGCCTTGAGTTTGATACCCAGCATTAAGGGATCTGGAAGAAATGGCATCCTGTTTTATCTAAATTCATAGCAAGAAATAGATGTGCCTAATGAAACATCATTATGTTTAGAGCCTAAAACTATATCATTAATTTTTTTATAATGTTAAATAAAAAAAGGAGTAGTAACTTAAATTTTTAAAAATATACTGCTTTTACAGAGGGTTTTCTGGGATCTTTCATCTTGAAAATCTACTATACCTATAAGCAATACAATGGCATCAAGTATTCCCGACCATTTACCAAGCTATTTTAAATAAGACTTACAAAACAAATATTCCTGTTATAAAATATACCTTTTCTATAGAACAAACACCTCAGAGAATGTTATATAAATCTTGGGAAAAATTCTCTGCCAAGGATTTCATTAATCTACTACTTATTCTCTTATATGTGAGAAAAAGGAGGATCTCATATACAAACTGCCATCTTCTTGACCTGAGTGAGGTTTTCCCTCTGGTTCAATCTAAACAATTCTTGTTTTATGGTTCCACCTAATCATTGTTGTTTCTACTTAATAACATTTTAGACCAAATGAAGGTATCTAGAGTAAATTGGTTTAGTTTAAGCATGTCTAGTTTCCTTTAGTACACCTTCATCTCAGTTCTGTGTTTTAAATATTTTAGAAGTTTTAACTACCATTGCCTTGGACAATGCCATAATTTGTGGCATAAAAATTTAGCTATATTTTTAATCATTGAAATAATTAGGTTCTATGGCTAGATCACTGGTTTCTCATGAATCATTCTCCCTTTTTCATACAGTTCATTCATTCCAAGAAAAACAGTATACAACAATATTCAGGTGTACTATGCTATTTATTTCATTTTAATGCCACCTTTATACACATTTTCAATTTATTCCTCGTATCTGTAATTGTGGATAAAAATTATTGGCGTTTTATCCTAATGCTCAAATATGTTTTATTTTGGTAGCTTTCTGCATCGACTCCTCCTCCCGCAGACTCAGTAATCAGTACCTCATCAGGGATCACATGGCTGTTCATTATAATAAAATACTTTCAGCCAAAGGTAAAAACATTCATACTTGAATTATTTCTAAACATTTGTTATAATACTCATACAGTATGGTAATAAGAATGTCTGACTAGGACCCAGGAGATCAGATTCAAATGTCCACCTTAGATGGTCACAGATGGGCTTGAGCCACACAACAGTATATATATTACTTCAAACTTTATGAAGGCAACAAAAGGATAAAGTATTATAAATATTCTGTTATCAGAAAATAAGATTTTGCAACAGACATACTCTTTAAGAAAATTTGGTTAGACATGCAGATCATGTGTGCCCTTGCAATATGTTTTTTTTTTAAACTAGAGTGAGATAGATCATTTCATTGTCCAAAATGTTATAGCCCTATGTTTTCTCCTGAATTGGTGAGAGGTTGGTGACATACAAGTTTAATTTATTGTTGTGATTATGATTATAATTTCCACGTCCTTTTGTGGAGTGCTTCCAAAGGCAGTTTTTCTTCTATCTACAGTATTTTTTTAAACAAGTATTGGGATTAATGGATATCATTTAGAAGTTGGAAAAATGCCAATTTCTTTATTTATTAGCACTCTAATGATTGCATTTCTAATTGAATCAGAAATATTTATGAATCTTGAGTACATACTATTTTCTCACTAAAAGTGAAACAGACATAAAAGCTAAAGATAGGAAGTATACCAGCCAATACTAATGAAAGTTTGGAGATTTCAGATAATAATTATATAAAATAATTATATAATAATATGCCACTTCCTTGGTCATTGATCAGATATTCTCCAACGTGGTGATATATCCTTATTAATATTTAGCAGAGAGATCTTTTCATCTCTTTTAATAAAGAGATTACAGAATAAGACAAAAGTAATATTCCTGTAGAGGTCTGTTCAGAACTAAATTTCCTTGAATTCAGTGAGGCTTTTCCCCTAGTTAGTAGATATGCATTCTAACCTAAGAGTTAACTGAATAACTTGGTGGCTGTCACAAGAGGGGGGGCATCAACGTACTGGAGCCTAAGAATACATAAAATGTTTCATACATAAAATTATTTTATATGGTCCATGGCCTCACTGAAATATGTATGCTTCAGCTGTTTAGGGCTCTGCTAAGAACAAAATAGCACAGAAGAGTCAAATAACCTCTAGCAAATAGATGTTATTGTAGAAAACCGAAGAAGCTATGTATCACTTTTAAGTACTCTTTATAGCAAACCAGTGTCTTGCATCTGTTTCCCTTATCTAGTCTATGTAAAGGACTAGAAGTACTTATCTTTTAAGAGTTTTAATCTTTACTTTGTTTGGATAGTACTCATCTGATGTCATATTTTTTACCTTTTTACTTTTGTTTGAATGAGATAAACTTTCTCACAGGAAAGTTTAGAATAGGGGTAGGTTGGTAGGTTATGTCCCTTTTTGGCATCAGCAATGGCTTACTGAGAGAGAAGGGTGGCACTGGGAAACAAATGGGCTGGACCACGTGGTTATGCCAAGTTGACAACTGCTGAGGAGAGAGTGAAAGGTTACACAGAGCAGACTTACCTGACTTGTTTTAATATAGTATATTTTGCAAGTGAGCTCTTATATTAAAATATCTTCATCATCTCACTTGTCTTCTGTTTTATTTGAATTGGAACAGTTCTGGATTGTATTTTGACTGAACCATGAGTGGCCCAACATGGTTTGATAGACATTTTGCAATGTAATGGATTGTTTAGGGCAGTGGCCCCCAACCTTTTTTGTACCACGGCCCGGTACAAAATGTAAAAATGATCCACGGACTGGTACCGGCATCAGCATGCACGACCAAGACGAGCCTAGCATCCGGCCAGCCAGCCGTCCCCTGCTTTTCCCCGCCACCTTCAACTCCTCCTTTGTACCTTCTCGTGGTCAATGGGCTTTTCGGGCTCTTTCTTAATCTCCTCCTGAGTAATGCGAGACTCCACTGCCATCGGGACAGCTCTTCGTTCGAAGCTGCCCCAACTTCGACGAAACTAAGGTGCGAGGATTCCTTCAGCACCCAAATGCCACTTTCCAACTGACAACCGACAAGCTCACCCAGAAGCACTTTCTCAAGCGCCGTCGAAACAAGATGGTGCCACCCAAGCAAAATAGGCGGCCCAGTACAAAATGATCCATGGACCGGTACCGGTCCAGGGCCTGGTGGTTGGGGACCCCTGGTTTAGGGTTCAAAACAAAATATTTTCTATTTTATGATCACCCCTTGACCCACTATTTTTCTTATAGTAGCTTTTTAAGAAAGGCATTTGCTAATGAAGTTGTTTTACAGCTGGAAAAGCAATTTAAATTACAAATATGTAAATGGGTGTACTAAATTAGGATCCCATTTTTTTTCTGTGCAGCAGGACAATTATTTTTATAATGGATGAACTATCCAACATACTTTGAGGTAATTTATGTTTACAGGGTAATATTCCACATTAAATTATATATGTAAGATGGAAAAATGTACTATATTGAAGAAGAAAAGAAAAATATGTAGGTAATTTGATCAGAATAGTTTTCTCTGTTCTACAGAGACATGGAATATCACTATAAACCATGTACTTTGCCTATGCACTGGTTTAATTCTATTGATAATTGATAATTCCAAGCTGGGATTTGCCTGGAAGCTGTAGCATTTAGTTACTACATTTAAATAAGCCATTTCTGTCAGCACCCAAGTTTATTTAGTTGAAGGTATTAGTAAGCAAAAGAAATAGATCAGTGGAGTTAAGAGGAAAATACATTCAGGACACTATTGACCCTCAGGAAGTCAGTTGGGGTCTACAGATGATAAAGACAAGAGTTAGAAACTCCAGTGGCATAGCTGTTTTTGTCTAAGCTTCCATTTCAGTTCATTATTTCCTCTTACACCATTGTTACAGTTCACAAGCAGAACTAAAGCATTCAGAGAGCTAAATTATGCTGAGGTCTGCATGAAATCAGAGCATTTCCCACTCCTGATACTTAATGATGCTATAATGGAACTGCAAATGATGGTTCTGAGAAAAGGCAGATAAGAGTTAGACCAAATTAGACGTGTGGAGAAGGCCTCTACCTCCTCTCTTCCACTGATGGCTGTTGCTTGAGGCTGTTAAGGAAAGGAATGTGTTAGGTAAATAAGATAGGACTTAAATTCTTTGTCTCTGCTCGCATGGATGCTGATTTCTTGGCAGGAAAGTAGCCAGATGGCAGTTGGTCTCATCCTCTCTAACATTAGAGGTCTGGCTGTTTTAATTTGAAATTGGGCCAGGTGATGAGGAAGCCTTATTGCCAGTACTAAAGATCTAGGGGTCTTACGGTAACTAATGAAAGCTTGGCAGATATGGTCTTTGGACATAATTATATTTTTAAAAACCTATTAAATATTTGTCTGAGTCCTAAGACTAATTCTGGTGAAACCCAGAGCAATTGAATTGATAAGTCTAACTAATATGCTGCTGATACAGCTGTCAGCTCAGTATACTGTTTTTACTTTTTACACATTTTTTCAAGTTTAAGCTCTCCTAAGGTGAGAAAAATCACTGCTAGATATAAATGATATGTTATTATGGAATATATAGAGTGTTAGATGAAGACCAGAAGTTTTAACTGAAGGCAGATAATAACCCATATTCAAGATACCATGGCAGTCTTTCATTCATTGTTAGTCTCTATAAAGGCTACTCGAGATACAGAATAAAAATATATGTTTTTAAGGTGGGTGGGGTGTTTCAGAAAACTAAAAATATTTTTCAAATTTCAGCACATTGAGATTTCTGGATGTTTTCCTTCCTATTTTCATGGCTGACCATAGTGCAGCATTATTTCTGTGGGGTCCTTGGTGTTCTCTGAGCTTGGTTGTTTTCTTACAGATGTTTCATTAATGCACTAGATAACATAATCAATGCTTAGCAAGGACCCCATAGTTCAAACCTGAGTTACACATATTTTCTTCTATCAGTATTATATCTGCATGATATGATTGATTGATTGATTTATCAAATTTATATATCCATTCACCTCACCCATCTCACAGGAGCTTAGTCTGATTCCCAGACTTGTTGGCATAACCAGGTCTTGAGGAATTTCCAGAACTTTAAAAGGATGAAGTTATTATTATATCTGGGAGGGGTGGTGGAAGAAAGTTCCATAAGACAGGTGCCACAGCAGAGAAGACCCACTACCTGGAAGATCTGCCAAATGTAGGTCCTTGGCAGATAGTATCTGCAGATGCTTTCTCTGCCAGAACTAATGGGCCAGACTGATATAATTAGAGACAGGCAGTCCACAGATAATCCAGTCCCATGCTTTGAAGACCTTTAAAGGTTAAAACTAGCACTTTGCATTGGCCCCGAAAGCAAACTATCAATCAATGCAGATTGCAGAGGAGAGGTTTAATATGACCTGTCTTAGGAGCACATATAGCTGCCTCCATTGCTGCATTTTGATCCAGCCAAAACTTCTAAATAATTCTTCAAGGGCAACTGCATGTAGAGTGGATTTCAGTAGTACAGTATGGAGGTGACTAGGGCATGAATGAATGTGAGCCAAGCCTCCCCATTCCGGAATAGGCACAACTGATGCACAATCCAGAGCTGTGTAAAGACCCTCTTAACCACAACTACTATCTCTCTTCAAGCAAGAGTCATGAATCGAGGAGCACCACAAATTGCCCTTTGGGTCTGTTTGGGCACTGATTCCATCAAGCACTAAAGATGGCATAGTCCTGGAAACAGTAGGCCTCAAAATTTCATCTCTAAGGTCCTACATGGCTCGTTATTTGAAATACCTCCTCCTCTGGAATTCATTTACTTGTCTGATCATATTTTATATTGATTAGCTATTTACAGTCCTCTCCTTGTAGGACTGACATCTGACAGAGTCTTGGAAGTGGGTTTTACTAATGCTGTAGAGCTTTTGTTTGTTTCATCTTTCTGTGGTTTAGGAAACTTGTAGCAACTTTTGTTTTCGAGTTGACATACGGAAAGGAGTTTATAATATGTAGGTGGGATCTGTATTGTGTGTAGGTTATTTATATGGGTTTGGGTTTTTTTTAAAAAAAATATTAGCTGTCTGTAGCCTCAGGAATGAATAGCATATAACTACAGTTGGAAATAGGTAGGTATATAAGTTAGCAATTAATATATTAAAAGTTTGGACAAGCTGATAAGCTTCAATTATAAAAAGTTTCATTTTATAGATACATATTGATAGCTCATATCAAGCAAAGTCTATTGCAACATAAATTACTTTTTTATTGGCTTTGTGTTGTTTGTTTTCAGCTGCTATAGACTGTTCATTACCAAAAAGCAGATTAAACAGTATAAAATGTAAGTATTTTCTTTGAATTGTTAATAATTTTAAAAAGCATAGCATGAAAATTGTATTTCATACAATTATTCATTATTATTTAGAAATTAGAATTATTATTCATTACTACATGTACCTTGGTTGCAGTGACATTTCCTCTCACTTCCTCTCATCTTCAAATTTTTAAGTTGATTTGAAATGTGCGACAGTTTATTATTTCTGGTGAATGCTGTCTATCAATGAATGAACACAATAAGCCACAACAGAAAATACCCTAAACTGTGATATTTCAATTCAGCATGGTTCAAATTCTGAGTACAGCATGGTATGGTATGGTATTGATACAGTATAAGTTATGATGAAAAATCTGTGTTTATTTTGTTTTGTTTATTTTGTAATCTTAAATAGCAAGAGCTAGTCCACACTGTTCAATAGTAGTGTTCAACAGTATTATGATTTTGTGTATTTGCTTTTTAAATTGTGTTGTTTTGATTTTAACCTGGATGCCACCTACAATCTGTTGGCGAGAAAGGCAGCTATAGATATTTTTTAATATCTCTTTTGTTTAAGCAAATCATCAATCAGTGAATGTCCACCACTGAAAGATTGTTTGTGGAGGATGATGCAGTTCATGATTCCTCCATTGGGAAGGGGATTGAACTAGAAGATTTTGGAAGTTATTTCCAATCCTTCCAGGCTTTTGATTCTGTATAATAAAAATATCTTATAAAATGGTATGACAACAAGCTAAAGACTAGTGAAAATTATTTAGGGCAAAAATACAGTCTACTCTACAAAAAATATAGGTGAAAACAGAAGTATTTGTACATGAAGGAACATTTTTTTGGTTATGAATCAGCAACATAAATTGTTTCTCTTGGAAGTCTAGCAGAGTGGGATGGTTTAGTTCCATAGGAATGCATTTTAATCCCTTTTTTTTTTAGCTGTTTAAACCATTTTCCCCCTGGCACTTCCTATGTTTTCATGAAGACAGAAAATTGTTCATATAAGAAAGAGGACCAAGTCACAGATAAGAGTACAGACAGGTATCCTGGAATATAGAGCTGGTATCAGGTAAACCAAAACTCAGCGTGAACTAAAGTTATCAAAGGGCTTCTTTAGATATGTTCAAAATAAAAGAAAAGGAATTATGCTAGCTGATTAATAAAGGTGGCAAAATATTTTAAGGTAACAAACAAAAGACATAGAAACTGAGCTATCATTTTGATTCATTCTTAATCAACAAAAAAAGAAAATTGGGTACTCCACCAGGATATTGTGAAGATGGGAAAGCTATGATGAAGAGGCAAAATTGAAGCTTGAGATTGAGGAAACATGTTCAGGAAATACCTCTTTAGATTAAATTTTCACAAGGAAATGAATTGCATCCTACTGTATTGAAAAAAATCATTATAGTTTGGCTGAACTTTTGTATTATTGAGATCCTGATTAAAATGCCAGATGACAACTGGAGGAAAGAAAATGTACTTTTCTTCAAGAAGAGAACAATGATCCTTGATGTTATGGAAAGATCAATATTATTTGATCTGCATTTAATTTGCTGTCTAAGAATTTAGCTTTTTCTTGTGTGTATATCTATTCTAATATGTATTTTTCTTTTCTTGTTTATTTTACTCTGTGCTTTTTTTTCTCATGGTTAATAAAGGGCAATAAAAATTATTTTAAGATGTGATACTGGAAGATCCAGGAAATGACAGATTGATCAGTCTAACATTGCTAACTGGGAAAATTCTGGAACAGATCATGTTTATTAAATTTGTAGATGTTATATCACTGAGTGGGATATTGCCTAGGAAATAGAAAGAAAATTCAAAACAATCTGGATAGGCTGGAGAAATGTTGGGAAAATGTTCTGCAAATAACTGCAAATTAACAAAAACAGAAAGTGAAGCAGAACAAATTCTGTCTTCTGTACTACATTCTGATGCCAAGTCATACAAAGTTGGCAGACCAAAGGTGGTAATCTTATCTGTTCTTATCTGATCTCATCTCAACTTCTCTTATCTGACCTTATCGTCTTATCTTATTTGTATCATATGAGGTTTGGTTATTGTTTTAGAAAAACAGTAGGGCATTCTCGTTGTGACTAATCCCTGCTTTACTAATTTTAATTCAAATTTAAAGTGATGTTCTTACTTTGGATTTGGGCCATTAAATAGAATAAAATTATGTCAATTTAAAATATAGACCCTTTTATGTATGCATTCAAGAATAAGATAGTATATCAGATTACAGGGCATTGTCAAGTTTCTCATCATCTCATAACTATTGCTACCAAAAAATGACATTAGTTGAAAACCATTTCTACCTTTGTCTGCACACAAAGCAATCTCTGTGTGTCTTTTTTTAATCCCTTTAATCCTAGTCGTTTAACCTGAGCTAATATTTTCCTCTTAAGTTTCAGATCAGCAACAAAGAGAGAAACTGAAGAAAGAGGTAGAAAAATGTGAGAAGGAGATGATTTCATCTCAACAGGTATCCCGATCAAGTTCCAGGGAAAGTAGAAGACTGTTGTCTGCTACCTATACAAAAGTAGGCATATTTATTCTCTTGTTCCTTTTTCATTATTAATACTGGAGAATTCCCGATTTTAGTATTGTTGAATAGCAGTATTCTACTAAATAGTCACGAAAAATATTTTAGTAAATACTTCCTTTTAAGGATAAGCAAGAGCATATAGTAGTGTAATTCCTCTAATTTTATTTCTATGATTTTAATTTGTGCTGAATAGGAAGAGGCAAAATTCTCCAGTACTGTCTCTCATTTTCTAGTTTTAGATTTTTTCTGGACTACCACTATATCAACTTGTAAGTTGGAAAAAAAAGCGTAAATTTTCTATACATTTTTATACATGGTTCATGCCTATTTACAGGCTTGTTTCTCAATTTCACCTTAATTTAATTCTACTTCTGCTATCTTTTTCAACTGCTGGAGGGGGGAATAATAATTAAAAGGATTAACAGATTGCAACTGGAGTTTGTTCCATATGATTTTCTCCTTACTCGTCTTCTTCAGAATGAGGAAGCTGAAATTTAATCCTTCCTTCCATTTTTGTCTAGCATCAATAAGGAAAATTCTACACACACATACACAAACACCAACTTTTAAATCACATGTGATACTGTCTTGCAAAATAAGCCTATAATACCTGTTTTCAATTTATCTGCATTTAGTGATAGGCTTGCTATAAATATACCTGCCCTTTACAGGGCAGCAAGTACAGCAGGGTGAGTGAAGCACAGGGAAGCAAAGGTGGCAGGGCAAGCAGAGTTCAGCAGAGGCTTTGAGCTGTGGTGTGGGGCTTGAGGCTGCACTCTACAGTAGCAATGCTGTAGCAATGGCTGAAGTAGAGGCCTGGGAGTGTTAGCATCTGGCTGAGACTGCTGAACTTCCCTGGTGTCTATTTCAGCCTCAGTGCCACTACCGTTGCTTATGTAGGGTGACCAAAAGAGAAAGGTGGAGGGGTGATAGGCAAGTGGGAGAGAGTTGACGCTCTCTTCTGATCTTAAGTGCAAATGGGCTGCCAAACACTACCTGAATTTTAATCATATCACTGTGGAAATGCTGCCGTGGCCATAATTTCAGGGATCAAGTATAAGCACCATTCGTTCAGCACCTCCTTAACTTTGAATGGTCACTGAACAAAGGGTCAAAATTTGAGAACAACCGGCACATGATCGCTATGCATTGTAATCTGAAATATAGAAACTTCTAGCTTTCTTTTATTTGTGTCCTAAGTTTTGTAAATATTATTTACTTCATCCTTTTTTCAATCTGTTTCCTCTAAAACGTGTTGAAATTCCTTCTTCCAAATTTCTGTCAGTATTATTAAATCTTAAAATTATGGTCCTAAGTATAATTTGGTTGGAGAAGACAGATTTAGATTATAAATGAAAATTAGTTGTTTGTATTCATGTATGTGTACCTCTTCCCAGCTATATAGAAAGAGAAAAAAAATTGAATGGAGGAAATAAATTGCTCAAATAAACCATATTTGTTGACTAGCACTGCATGGAATAACAGTAGTTAGGAAAATGATCTCTGATAGACAGCTAGAATATTATTTGCAGGGAAGAAATGGGGAGAGTATTGTAAATGGTGAGATTCATTTTCATTTTAAAATGTGCATAACAGAGTATTTGGCTTCAAGCTGCTATATAATGTTGATTATTAGTTTGCCAATTCTTGCATGATTGCTTGGTAGTTGACAGTGAATGATAAGTTTCCCAGATTATCACTTTATTTAGAAAAGTTACTCATGATTGGTGGAGATGGATAATACAATATGCTGTTGTTTTTGCTCGTTTTGTTATATTTTGAAATAAAAGGGAGAAATGTCAATTTAAACATCTGAGACTCCTTTGGTTACCATTATTGCCATTCATCAAAGTTTTTGTCATTTCGGATTGTTGAATAAATAACCACTGTATTCACTACTGATTTTTATCATGCTAATGCAGGATTTGCAATATGTATCTTGGTGAAACTTTTTTTCAAAATTTTAAAAGGAATATGCCAGGTGCCAACCAAATAAAAAATGGCTTTCAAATCAGACTTGTCAAACATCATGCTGGTTCTGATTGTCTCCAAAAGCTGGTCAGTTATCTCCTATGCAGTAATATGAATAATTGACCCATAGTATCAATGTGTTGTATATGTTTTCATCCTTTCGGATATAAAAGCTGACATGTTGTGCTCCTTCTCTTCAGTGGTAAATTTATTGGTAATGGAGAATATGTTTATTAGGCTCAGTCTCAACTCATCTTTTTAATATATATGATTGATGTTCTTATGAATAGCCCAATTGTTATATAGCTGCAACTGGCCCAAGTTATATTCTGCAATGGAAATGTTGAGAATCCCTAATCTGGAGATACTGTATTGTCAAACCAATAAGGGAGAATATTTGTACTCTGAGTTGCAGGGCTCTTCTATTGTCAAACTTGATGTTTGATACCATGATATGTATGAAGAAATAATTCAAATAACTTTATTGTGGTCATCAACCAGCAGGAAGAAAGAAGAAAATGGTTTTCAAATATCCAGAACATCAGAAAATAAATAAAGAGGAGCGATACATAGAAAATGTAAAAAGCTTCTATGCTAAAAAGCTTTATTCTTATTAGTTAAAACTAACCTAAGAGAAGTAAATAATTTTGTGGCCATTAATCAGTGCAGGAGAATTAGTTTTCAAATATACAAAACTAAATTGACAGTATTAAAGTAATTAGAAAAGGCACAAGAACCAAGGTGGTGCAATGGTTAGAATACAGTATTGCAGGCTACTTCTGCTGATTGCCAGCTGCCTGCAATTTGGCAGTCAACTCGCACCAGGCTCAAGGTTGACTCAATCCTTCCATCCTTCGAAGGTATATAAGGCTAAGTGCTATTGCTATTAAATACAAAGAAAGAATTTAAGCTAAAAGACAATATTAAATCCAAAAGTGCTAAGAAGATAGCTCAGGCTTCATAGAAGTCACAAAAACAAATTAAAATTAGCAAATCTGTCTATAGAAATTTTAAAATAGCAACATAAAATACAAATAAAAAAGATAGATAAAACAATAAAATTATTCCAAAGGGATTTGTAGATTATAAACTTATATTACAAATCCCTTTCAAACCTGAGAATACAATAAAATATATGCACCAAAGCATAAAAAAAAGTTAAAAAGCAACTAGTAGTTAATGCAGAGCTGAGCCGTTTCTGGTTATCCATTCTCAGACAGATTCAGTTGCTCTTAATTATTCCTTGCCTGATTTTGCATGCTGCTATACAAAACCTGGCAATCTTATATAATTTCAAGGTTGATGTCCATTACCGGAAAGAAGAGATTGCTAATATTGTTGATTGGTGAATCCTGTTTTTCTGGTCAAGAGTGGGGAAATTAAAGCATTTTCAGGTTCTATATAAAACAGGTAATACAGAAGAAGAAAATGTTGGATAGTTTTGACTTGTCCTGAGTCTCAGGGACATAATGGATATATCTTTCATCCAGAAGTGCTGAGGGGAAAATATGACATTGAACTGAAATCCAGGTCCTTCCTGATTCTCTGATTCAGGATATTAAGCAATGTGAGATACAAGCTGGTGCCAGAGTATATATCTGGCTATTTGCCATGGAAAGCTGATAAATATACTGAAGCCACCTTTAGGTCTACCTCTTTCTTTCCCAACTACAGCATTAAGCAGTAAGCTGTATATCCATTTAGTGCCAAATCAGTTGGAAGCTAGGTTTCTTGCAGCAAGCCAATGATGAATATAATTATTGATGAATATAATCAATGATGAATATAATTATTGAAAATTATGAAGTTTATTACCTCTGCAATTGAACAACCAACTGTCCATATTTCAATTAATTGGAGTAGCTTAGTCTCGGTAGGGTTCATATCATAACCTCTTTACATATATATAGGAGATGCAAGAGAAGGGTTCTGGCTCTCTCAGGGACTAGATGGTGTATCTTCTAGAATTATTATTGGCCAAGCTGTGATTGGACACACAAAGAATTTGTCGGTGCAAATGCTGTCAGTATACATAAAAGAAAAGATACATTCATGAAGAGTCAAGAATCATAAGGTACAACACTTAATAATAGCTATAGGGTACAATAAGCAATCAAATCATACTAGGAAACAGTCAATATAAATTGTAAGTATACAAGCAACAAAGTTACAGTCATACAGTCACAAGTGGGAGGGGATGGGTGATTAACAGTAATAGTGCAGACTTTGTAATAGTTGAACAGGGTTGAGGGAATTATTTGTTTAGCAGAGTGATGGCTTTCAGGAAAAAACTGTTCTTGTGTCTAGTTGTTCTGGTGTGCAGTGTTCTATAGCATTGTTTTGAGGGAAAGAGTTGAAACAGTTTATGTTCGGGATGTGAGAGGTCTGTAAATATTTTCACAGCCCTGTTTTTGACTCCTGCAGTATACAGGTCCTCGATTGAAGGCAGGTTGGTAGTAATTGGTTTTTTCTGCAGTCCTAATTATCCTCTCAAGTCTGTGTCTGTTGGGTTCTACCTTCGTAATTCAGCACATGAAGTTGAAGGTTCACTCTCTTCTGGATCATTCATAAGCGACTGATGATCCCTTTCTAATGATTTCATGACTAATAGCTTCATCAAATTCTGAGGGTGTCAATGGGTGAATAGTAGATTGATCAGAGAGCTATGTTGTTGTCAGCTTGAAAATGTTGTTGAAAATAAAATCTGGAGTAAAATCTAAATCGGTGGCATGATGTTTTTTTTTTTTTTTGACAAGCTTGTTTGGATAATAGGATCCAAATCAGTCAATATCACAGGTGAGAGAAATTCTTGCCTTTGAGGAATATACTGCTTTGAGGAACACACACTGCTTTGATTCTACAGATTTCAGCCCACAGGGGTGATTTTCCCTTTTGGAATTGCGTTAAACAAGTGGGGAAGTTACATTCTCCTCTCAGTTATATCCAGTTAGAGCCAGCTGAGGGATAAAAGATGTCAGTGAGGAGGCTTGTTATTTTAAAACCTGTAGTCTGCTCTGAAAATG